AGCTGAAGCAGCTGGCGCGGCGCCAGCTCCTCGCCTTCCACCTGCACCGCACCCAGCTCCTGCCCAACCCCCTGCTGCTCTCCATCGTGGCTAAGTAAGACACCCCCACTAAGTTAAGGGACACTTCACAAGTACTTGACGTCTAGATATCTGTAAAGAAATATTTTTATGTATAAATATAGCCTATGTATTTTTAGAATTTAGAATTTTTAAAATTGGCCCAGTAATTTTTGAATTATTTCAATATATACAAAAATACAAATCTTTCTTCTTTATAATTAGCTTTAGCTTTCGCCCGCGACTCCGTCCGCGTGGAATTAAAAAAAACAAAAGTGAGTACCCCATGTGTTCTTCTAGATTACTCTGTCTATACCAAATTTCATCGAAATCCGTTCAAACGTTTAGGCTACAAACTAACATTCATTTAAACTTTCGCATTTATAATATAAGTATGAAGTCTGATGTGTTTTATAAAGTTTCAGGCATATTGTTGAAGAACCGATGCCGACGTGGAGCGATTACGTTAAATCCAAAATGGTTGTTAAATTGAAGGTAAACATTTTTTTATAATACAAGATGGCAAACGAGCAAGCGGCCACCTGAATCCATCGAAATGGAAAGCGACCGCTGCCCATAAACATCTGCAATTGCTGATGTGTTGCCTACCCTTCATTGACGGACATAAAGAGGACATTTCCCCTTCCTATGCGTCTCCTTCGTCGAATCCACTTCTTTCCAACCTCTCCTTATAAGAAAAGGGTGGTAAAGAGAAAGGGACTTAAATTAGGCCTCCGGCACCACACTCATCAGACTGTACACGGAATTGCTTCCACTTCACGCCTGTCTGTGTGGTCGTGGTATTACACCGGGCGTGCTCTGCACTGCTAAAGATGTTAAAGCGGGCACTACCACTGTTGAACAAACATAATAAAATATTACAAAGTAGAGCGTCGGTGGTTCAGTGGTACCCTTTTCTTGGTAGTGTATCTGTAGAGATACA